TGATGGTTCATTTGATTCACCTGCAATTGAAATTTACAAATTTTAATAAGGCCAGACTTTTATTATCCCTTGTTTCGCAAACCTGCCGAATGAGCAGCAGCCGAAAATGAAATAAAAATAAAATTTTATTTCAGCGTAATTTCTCATGCCCGCCGACTTGCGAGTGCAAAAAATTGCTAAAAAAATAAATGTTATCTTCATTTTTTTTTTTGCCCGCCGCCTAACAAATCCAAGTTTCATGGGAGTATCATGATCAAAGTACCTAAGTTTCACGCAGATCTATACTTTATGCATGTTGGTTGACAGTGAATTTTGGGTATTGACTTCTCTGCGTGCTGTTTGAGATTACGAGGCAGCGGCGTGTTTTGTGGTGACATGTTGTGAAACTCTGTCGTCAAAAACCGAGAAATTCCTCATTAATGCTGAAAATTGTGCCCCAATTGGCACCATTGCCAACAAGGTTATACATGGAATAAAAATTTATTTCATTTCTTCTCTCTGATCAATGATCTCACTTACAATTCTTTGAGAATCACACAAATCTAATGGAAAAAAAAAAAAATTTTTTTTTTTTTTTCGCCCTCCTCAAAAACATTTACTTATAAAAACTCAAGAAACAAGGAATAAAAAAAAGTCTGGCCTAAAAATTAAGGGGAATGCCTTTGTTGTGCTGAGAGTACTACTCATTAAATATTCAATGGGTTTTATCTTTTACTGAAAAGTATAATTAATTCATACTAGCAGATGTCTACATAAATTTAAAATGCTCAAATATTCCCTACTTTACTCTTTTGGAAGAGTTCCATAACATCACTGCATATCATGAGTAATTAATAGCACTGAATGTGTGAATGGTGAACATACAGTAGCACAGACTGTGATAAAATAGTTCACTAGATCAATCCCTTGCACACTGTAAATGCATTAATTATTCAATGTTTTTAATTTTACTACTTCTGCTATAATAAGTAAAATTTGCTAAATTAAATCCACGTGAACACGTAAAATAAAAATAGAATGGTTCAAACCTAGTAAAATTGCTCAAAACACCGAAATAGTAAAATTAAATGCCAGTGAAAATAATTGTTTAAACATTACTTTTCCTTCATTCACGATGTCACAAGAAATCTGGTTATTTGACGTGAATAAAAACGAAATTTATGATCCACTTCAGCAATCACCGAGTCTTTAAATAAATTATTACTATGTATTCTCTAAATGACTCACGGTATTTCTGCGAACTCCATTCAGTTGTGCTTCCGGTGGATTGTCCCACTATCTGGCCGGTAGAAAACTTATCAAAACTCGATCACCCACATCCCACATGCATTGGCATGCCGTTTTATTTGATGAAAAATCACATCAAACTATTTACATACATGTATACGAGGTCAAACAAACAAAGTTTCACTCTCGAATGAACATCGCTCTACTTAATTACAACTTTGTGTACACATTGCCTCCGCGTTGTTGACTTGAATTATCCGCCATTTTGGTGGATAATGTAATTGAATTTAAATGATATGTACATTTGGTGTCAAACGGTGTAACTTGTATTGACAAGATTGGATTTTAATGCGAAATCCGATCTGAGCCACGAATGCAAATGCGTTTTGAACCCGGAAATAACAACGTGAAGTAACAACGATTAATTAATTTCGTAAAGTTAGTTTATATTTTTACCCCCATGGTTTATAGTTTTCACACTGCAACACGTTTCAAATGTGAAGTGTCCATTTTCAACAGGGAGCCAGAGATGTCTACTATAACGCCAATAAGATCGATAGTGGATTACCGGCAGATCAACACATCTATATGTTACTGCACAGTCCCTCATTGAGGGACTGTGGTTACTGGTATATAGGTGTACGGTTTTTAAAATGGTTCCCCTGGCTTGATCTCGCAGGTACACCTGGATGACAAAGTACAGAATATTGATAAAAACTTACCTTCACGCGGTAGCAACACTATACAGACGTGTATAATAGTGGGAAGAATACAGAGGTAATATACAACACTGAAATATAACTAGGACACATCGATTGGAAACTGACTATAAAAGTCAGAACGGCCTTCCCTTTTCTCAAGAACCTACGCTGAACGGGGGTACACTCCCTGATGTCAAATTGCAACTCAAATTATCGCGGGGGACACACACTTGAACAAGTGTGTAATTGTTTCATCATAATGAGCATACGAACACTATTTAACAGGAATCACTCAACAAATGCATGAAATTATTGAGTATGAATCGTGATTTACAAATGTTGCAGGTCCAAAACCATTATTCGCCGTGAAAAATATACATAATCTGAGCGTTAAATAATGGTTATCAACGTCAACTTAAAGGGTCTGGCTCCTCTAGAATGTCATTTTACTAGGGGATCAATACCACTTTATGAGATTACGGTTTTATGGGTGATTAACGCAATTTATTCTGATCTGGGATATCCCGCTTATTCGTGTTCCCGGAATGTTCTGTTTTTCGAAGATTATTAGAGGATGCGGTGTGTGTGTTTGCAGCATCGCGATACTATGTTGCTTCGGCGCTGTTGCTGTGAATGTGGCGAACACCAGCAGTGATTACACCTTGGCATCCTCGCATCTTTCTCAGAACTCACTGTCAACAGCTGTTGATTCACCAATAAATTATGACAGTTCCATCGCAGACACTTTCTTTATCGGGACATCGGTGAATCTTGGCGGGCTCTTCGCGGTGCATCTGCCAGACGAAGATGCAAACGGTAAGACGACGTGTGGCATTTTGAACGAAAAATCGGGATTGTGGATCGAGGGCATGCTTTACGCAATTGACAATGTCAACAAACGAGATGACATGTTACCAGGTGTTATTATTCATGGTGTAATCAAAGATGATTGTTCGGATCCCAATCATGCTCTAGAGGTAATGTCACATAATCAATCCCACAATCCCTGCACAACTAGTAAGTATTGCATAACACCATATACACATTAGTGTCTATGATAATAATAACACAAAATTGAGAATTGTATATCTACATGTATAAAAACAAAATAAAAATACTTAAATATAAGTATATCACTACACTGGGTTTCATGTAGGCGTGAATTTGTTTTACCTGGTAAATAAAATATTTATAAGAGTTTTTTTAAAATTTAAAATGGTGATTGAAAACAGCTTGACCAATTACAAGCCTTAGAGAAGGAATGTCACCCATATAGAACTCCACTGTGGTAAGTTAACATTTAATGTCTTCTCTTTCTGTGCCTAACAAAAATATGTTACCTATTCGTACGACCAAAAATTAAAGAAATTCCATAAAATCAAGTGGGGAATGGGCATCACCTAATGGTTTCTACAGCCAATGAAAGCATTCCTTTGAATGAAATATGAAGATCTTTCGTGTTAATTGTTTTATAGATATTTATAAATGTCCATAAAACAAATTCATGCCTTCATGAACCCTGGTGTATATTTGTTGTAATGAAGCAGGAATGCTGTCATTATACTTCCTGTTTTCTAAGACAAAAAGATGATGTAGATTCCCACTTAGAGGCAAATCTCAAATTAGCACATAACCTCAACAAACATAATAAGTCAGGGAAAACTACAAAATTACTTTTAAAGGTTGTTTATTTACTCGATCTGATTTATTGAACCAAACTGCACACAATTAATCTGATTTGATCATATTAATCAGATGAAATTAAACACACCTGATTCTCCAAAAAAATTGATCAGACATCAGATTCTGTCTGATTAGATTAAATGGAGATTAAGTTACGTCTAATTTTTTACAATCTGATTGGAGGTCACATTTTATGCATAAATGATCAGATTTATCTGATCAGGTTAATCTGATCAGATCATTAATATTTTAAATTAAAAATGACTGAAACATAGATATGGCCAACCATTGTATTTACAGATGAATACCATTGCGATAGAAATCCACAATGGCATGCAACCTTTGATTCCAAAATAATTCAGCAGCTAGAAAACGATATGCATTTTATTTGTAACATTCTGCAACAATGATATTCAACTATTCAAAAGTGTTGGAATAACTTTGATTGGATCTATCATCAGTTCTGCATAAATGAGTCATAATTGCGGGAAAGACTGAATCACAATAATGAGGATTAACGAAGGACTTCTCTAGCCAATGAAAACTGCTTCTTTGGATATGAATATTACAGCAGGTTCTTCTAGGGTAAATGTCTTACAAATTTCCATAGAAAATGATCATGCATCCTTGGAAACGATTGTACATGTATATTTTTAGAAAGGCTGTAGTTTTCAAACAATGTGACCAATCCCCAACACATTCTCAACCTTTAATGTGTATATGCTGAAAAATAACTTTTACATCATTTATATGTTCAGTGGTTCTGAAGAAGAAGATTTTTAAGCATGTTTTGAATTTTTGCAGGTTAAAAAAAACATGTCAGTCAGTCAGCTACTTTAATAAACTGGCTATATTGAAATGTCCAAAACAATATGACAATGACAATAACAGGAGACATGTGCTGTTAACACTTTTACTGTCCATATAGTCTTTTGTTGTTTGTTACCAGCTTTAAGTAGTATTGACGCATGTATTGATGCAGCAACCACAAACTAATACCACATTAGTTCTATTAGAAGTGTATCTACAAAAGAAATGTATTAAAATGAATAATTGCATTAAATGCACTACTACTAGAGCAAATATTTGAAAACATCTAGAATTATATTAAAAATCCCAACAAGGATGTGATTGTCATCAGAATGACATATGCTCAGCTTTATTTAATTTTGCAATTTAATACTTTATTACTTATACTTATTTCAGACAGTGCCATGTACAAAAGTGAAATCGAAGACAGGACATTTTTTTGCTGAAATGTAAACTACACGTGTACATGGGAGAGAAAAAAATCCCTCATAAGCGAAACTGAAAAATTTACAAACATAACCTGAAATAGAAAAAAAATATATAGCCATCATTTATTTATTTATTTATTTATTTATTTATTTATTTATTTATTTATTTATTTATTTATTTATTTATTTATTTATTTATTTATTTATTTATTTGTTTGTTTGTTTGTTTGTTTGTTTGTTTGTTTATTTTACCTCTTGTTTTCTTTATTGAACAACTTATCAAGATCCAAACACAATTAGATAAAGATTAATATTATTTTAATTAGAATTAAATGTTCAAGGGGGACAAATGACATAAAATAAAACCTTTACAAGGTCCAGATACTTGAATTATAATTATTATTACATGTTGTGGTGCCTGTTTTCACACACTTACAAAGTAATCAAATTACAAATTCCATTCTCTCAGTCAGAGTCCACTAAGTAAATGATATGTTTTGTGATTATTTCATGATGTTCTCCTCATCCAATAGCAAGCATTATCCTTCCTCGATGATGAGGAAGACACTTGCTGTAAAGATTGTAAAGTCCCTGTTCCTATGATTGGTGTGGTTGGAACTGGATCCAGTGTGACCTCTACAGCTGTGGCTGATCTTTTAGGTAAGCAATCAGTATTACATACTTTATTAAACTTTATTGCGTCTACAATGGTTACTGGAGTGCCTGGCTAATTGCCTGACAGATGGGGCAGTTACATGTAGGTTTATGTAAATATCTTGCACCCGCTGTTAAGCATACACTGTACTGATGAATCTCTGAAACCAGTAGGTGTCTTAAGTAATGTAAAATAATCAAATTTAATGAGAAAAACAAGAGATCTGTTTCTGGTCCAAAGTTTCTTAAAATTTTTCCACGATTTTTTTGTAAAAAGACTACCAACAGAGTAACCTGGAGCATTAATATGAAAGAAGGAAATAGATTTGAGACGCCTTCTATTAGTGAGGAAATAAGTGCATTGATTACCAAAACCAGATATAGCAGATTACTAGTCCACCTACCAAGCAGTACGAAATGACTACATTGCCAACATGATGAGTTGCAATAGATACCAACAACTACTGCAGTATTTTCACTGAAATGACCAAAGAATGATTCTATGAACATATAGTTGATGATGCTGAACGAAGAAAAAAAAAAAAGAAGCAGACACCCCTATATGAAGTGCAGCCAGTGCTGGATGCTGTGTTCAATAAGTCCCAGGAATGTTACAATATGAACACGTGAAGTTGTGGGATGTAACAGACTTTAAGGAGGAATCCCAGGAGTGTGTATCAGGGGGGAACCTCATTCCAAGGGATTCAAAACATATTCCATGGCAGATGCCAAAACTGGATACAACTACAAAATTGAGATAATGTCAATGACTGGTAGTCGTGAGAAGTATAGAAGGGATGTGGCCACCACATGGCCACAGGATGCCCAGATATAACAAAGTCAACACAGATTATGCAGGGAGATTTTTAGGCAAGAAGAAGATGACAACATAATGGAAGAGATGCTGGGAAATACAATAAGAAGAAATGTAATCTGCCATTTTTTTTCATAGTAGTAGAAGTCTCTGAATAGAAGTTTTTTTAATGCTTATATAGAAGTATAGAAGGGATGTGGCCACCACATGGCCACAGGATGCCCAGATATAACAAAGTCAACACAGATTATGCAGGGAGATTTTTAGGCAAGAAGAAGATGACAACATAATGGAAGAGATACTGGGAAATACAATATAAAGAAGAAATGTAATCTGCCATTTTTTTTCATAGTAGTAGAAGTCTCTGAATAGAAGTTTTTTTAATGCTTAACATGAACAAATTTTTCTGAACATAAATCTCTATTTTATTTTTAACTATTGTATTCCTTGACTACTTCAGGATGACTAAAAATCAAAATGATATCGACTTTGAATTATGTCAATTACATTTATTTGCATCATTTACTTTGTCATTAGAGGGCGCAGTTTATATGAGTAGTGTATACTCGGTAGTCTTTTATATCAATAATTCATGATTAATACTAGATACTGTCTTAATGTTAAGTGTAAATAAAATAGTTCCATTCACTGTACTTTTTTTGAGATTTTGCTAAAAAAACATTTAAAAAAAAAGAAAGAAAGAAAACCCAAGAAAAATTGAGAATATTTATAGCCAAAATGCTTCAGTTTGCTGGTATGTGAAGGCATGTATGTATATCTTTCAGTTACAGCGCCCTCAATAATTGTGTCAGTAAAAAAAATAAAAACACTGTTGTTTTACTTAATTCACTGTCTGTGAATTGAACTGCATTACTACGTTAGCAGAAGATGCTTTATCAAAATTTGTGAATATTTACCTTTGAATTGTTTGCAGGTTTGTTTCAAGTTCCCCAGATCAGTTACTCGGCAACGAGCGAGATGCTAAGTGACAAGAAAAGATTTCCTTTCTTTTTACGAACTGTGGCATCCGACATCAATCAAGCCCAAGTTATGGCAGATTTAGCTGTGTACTTTGATTGGAACTATGTAGCCATCATCCACACTAAAGATGATTATGGGACGCCGGCCGCTGAGACTCTGACAGCTGAACTAAAGAATCTGAATGTCTGTATCGCCTCCTTACATGAGATAACCAGACATAGTACTGATAGAGAAATCAGACACATCATCAGTGATCTCAAAGATCAGACCCAAGTAAAGGTAACTTACAAAATTGTAATTACAAAATACTTCTATATGTCAGGCAATAATTATTATCCTGCGATGACATTTGCATATTATGTCATCAGATATTTAGTAAAAACTAATAACCACAAGTCAGGTCCAGATCCCCCCAAAAACTTGTGGAATTTTCTAGGAATATTCCAGAGGTGGTGACTGATATTGTAATTTTTTTAGTTTTTTTGTTTGTTTTTTAATGGTGGTGGTGTTGGGGGGTGGTTATAATAGGGTAATGTCTTGTGATTCTGTTTCTCACAATAGCACACAAATTTGGCAGAGTGTTATTCTATATTCTCCCAAACCACAAAAAAACGCATTTGTAAAGATACATTTCTGTATGAACTAACATTGAAAGCAAACAGGGACTATGTCATGATTTGTACTCTTTGTAGGTGATTTTCACCTTCTGTTTGAAGCATGACATTTCACGGATACTAAAGGAGGCTGTAAAACAAGACATGACAGGTCGTACATGGGTGGCCAGCGATGCTTGGAGTAATTCCGATCAGGTCATGCGAGGAAAGGAATCAGTAGTGAAAGGCATGTTGGGTATTGTCCCAAAAGCAGGAAGTGATGATCAGTTTATCAGGTACTGTATTAAACCATTGTCCATATTTGAACCTTGTGTGATGTTATGGCTGTACGTTATCACAATGGAGGATGGCTATATTTTGTTGCATTAATGTCTGAACCTGCATGAAGTTTATTCAAGAACGCTTCAATATTTCTGTATAGCCCATGTATCCAGACATGATACTTGTATGTAATTTGTTTGCTCTTTGTTACCAGCCCACAATTTGAATTACGGCATATTCTCGTACGTTAACTCAAAGACACAGGAGGATATTTAGAGTTGAAATCTAATCACATTCAAGAGATTTATGTTGAGGCTCCAGCGGAGGTTTCAGTTACAAATAGATGACAAACAAAATATTAGTTTCTTTTTTAAGAGTGTCCTTATACTCGTACAGACTAACATGTTTTTTTTTTATTTTTTGCAAATGTAATTTACTTATAGGAGCAGAATCTAAATAAGTTACAACATATATGCCGATCATTAAAACTCTTGAGGGGTAGAACTACTGTGCAAGGGACTATTAATTTGGGTTCGTTCCGTACGTACGTCCGGAGCTATATCTTGAACACCCCCATTGACGGATTTCATTCAAACTTTACATGAAGACAATACATAATGTCTTACATATGCGTGTTATGTTACTTTATGATCGGAGAAAAATGGTCGACTGGCAGCCATTTTTGATGTCAAATTTGCTATTTCTGATACCTAAACGTGTCAAAAGCAGTTTCTCAAGGATGACTGGGCCGATTTGGATCAAAGTGGGTATGATGATCATACATATTGGGTTGTAGGTGCACGTCATACTTTTTCCGTGATTCAAACAAATATGGTTGACTGGCGGCCATCTTGTTTTTCATGGTACCCACGCTACTTTATCTTAAATGCAATGAGGGTTTCTGTTTAAATTTTGTACAAAGATAGTATACCAAGAGATACAACTACACCATCATTATTTTTGTGATTTGATTCAATATGGCTGACTGACGCCCAAATTTCATGTCAAATTTGCTATTTCTGATACCTAAACGTGTCCGGAGCTGTTTCTCAGAGATGACTGGGCCAATTTGGATCAAAGTTGGTATGATGATCATACATATTGGGTTATAGTTGCATGTCATATTTTTTCTGTGATTCAAATTAATATGGCTGACTGGTGGCCAGTTTTTCATGATACACATGCCTACTTTCCCATGAATGCAATGAACATTTCTGTTAAAATTTTGTACAAAGACAGTATACCAATAGATACATCAACAAGAACATTATTTTTGTAATTTGATTCAATATGACTGCCCAATGTCCAATTCTCGTGTAAAAGCACTAAATCATAATTTTTTAACAAATCCATCTCCTATTAATATTTTCAATCTAATTTCAATGACTTCATCAGCATCAAATTGATATGTCAGATCACAAAATTTTTGACGGGGACTTTGTCATTAACAATGACTTGTTATATATGGAAATGACACTTTATTTCCCAACCCCCAAATGTAATGTTATTTGGGGGGGACAAAAACTGTTGAGTCACAGGCCAATTGGACTGTTTTATATGATAAAACCATTATAGTCTGATTGTATGGCTAATGTGTCCACTTAAGCTTGGACACTTCTGCCGCATGACCTTGGTCCAAAAAAGCCGGATCTGGTTCATAATGGCTAAAACTGTGAAGCATGATTGATTTTTTTCAATGCATATCAGAAAATCTTATAACTACCACTACCATTACATTAACAAATTTAAAATTAAGTATTAATAAATAAATAAATAAAAGAAACTATATGAGGCAGACTATACCTTTTCCAATTTTCTCATCAGCTACCTGGCTCAGTTGAAGCCTGACAACAATGCACGTAATTTTTGGTACAGGGATACATTGCAAGCTGGTTTTAAATGTAGCTATATGCCATCTGGACCCAATATCAGGAAATGCCATGGAAATGAAACATTTGCTGAGATGGTTCAGGGCAAAATGGAAGCAGGCTGGACTGCATTTGTTATTGATGCTGTGTATGCATTTGCATATGGTCTCCATGGCTACCTTGAATGTAACTATGGCAATGGTGAGTATTTGCTTGTTCATTTGTTTCAAAGAACTTACCAATGTACTAAAGGTGGAGAAAACAGCTAACAGCTAACAGCGAAAATTAGTGAACTAGCAAAAAAAAAGCTGAGACAATACTCCTTCAAGGTCATTTTCATTTACTCCGGTAGTATTTCTAGAAATAGTATAGCTGCTACCGTAAGTAACTTTGTGATCATACGCAATTGATACACTTTCAAATTGGATCTTATTCATCATTTTATTCTATAGATTCTTAATCTAATGGACACATCTAACTGATACTAATAAGTACTTATCTTTTTTTTTTAAGGAGAAGGAAAGTGCAATATTTCTAAACTTAGTGAACATAACTCATCTGCGTTTTTGGATGACATTAAAAATGTTTCTTTCAATGGAATAAGCACTGGAGGAAAGAAGTTTTACTTCCAAAATGACGAACCCCTGGCAAACTATGCTATATATAATCTACAGGTAAATTATTATGTGTCAGACAAACGTGGTGTAAAGCTTTATCCAGTAGAGACTGTTTTGTCAGTTTATATGTGTCTCCATTGCAAACAAAATAACATCAATAAGCATTACAACATATTTATGAAGACATTGGATTCGGACAAATGAGTATGCAATAACTACTATCAGAGGTACATTAATTGGGGTTTGCAAGTAGTGGGACATGATACCAAGATACTGTTTCAATCTCCTTCTGGCATGAGCATTCCCAACTTAGAACAATACAAATGCGCAAGGTAACTAGGATACTGGGAGGTCCAGGTGAATCAAAATAGCTGCTCACGATACGACGGATTACAAGAAATATATTTTCTGTACATTTTCAATGTATTATAATTTTTTACAATGATAGTGGTAAGACATGTTTTATTGTTTTATTACAAACCCTGAACATTGATATATGTCATGTCAGAAGGTCATAGCATCAGTCTTGCTATCTACGAGATGAGACTTGAATTGGATCTTGACATGATGTCACCATACAGAACTATGCGCATTGGAAACCCCAAGCTACTATATATATTGTGACAGTGATATTTATAACTGTTATGGCATGAGTAATTTCGTTAAGGCTTTGTTCAGATAATCGATTCCCATGATTGTGTCTTACGTCTGCACTTATTGTCATCATTTGATGTGTTTTATGTACTGTATCGCATTATATATATGATTGTGTGATTTTGTTTTGACAAGATTCATTTGCATTTAGTTACAGGGTTACATTTTTTGAATGGTTGAATGGTTACAATACTTAAAGGGTGGTCATCGTTGCATAGCACGCATTTGAATTTCAAAACTAAGTGAAGGAAAAATCTATATTTACCAATGCACAACTTATAATGGTCAGAATTGTAAAAACATTACTGATTGTTGATTAAAATAAAGGGTGGGCGATTGTTGTGCAGCAACTGTTTGAATGTAAATTTCATGTAAATAAACACATTTACACGCTTTAAGCATTGTTGTCTTTAAAACCATAATTACATGTGATAACAACTTAATTTGCAATTGTTACAGGTTTTCGGTGAGAGAAGTAATTTCTCAGAAGTTGGTAGTTGGTCTCCATCATCAGGACTTACCCTTAAAGAAGCCAATATTCGTTGGTCAACTGGTTCATTTCCACCTATGTCCAGATGCTCTCAGGATTGTTACCCTGGCAACTACAAAGTGATTAAGAGTCCTTCTTGTTGCTGGACGTGTGAGCCATGTGAAGGTAAATATTTCGTGTTGATTCTCATTCTCGCCATCTTATATGCACTTTGTATTACTGTGTACAAGGAACCGTGCTCTAATTGATTTGATATATAAAGTCATGTAAATTTAATTGTTTTCTTTTTTATTGATTTCCGCAGATAACAGTGTCAGCTCTGTGGTGAATTCACTGTCGTGTGATGTGTGTCACGATTGGGAGAAATCAAACCCCAATCAGACTCAGTGTATCGATTTACCGCTAGAGTATCCCTCCATGTCTCATCCCATCATCATAGTACTCAACATCATCACAACAATTGGTCTCCTAGCAACAGCAATTGTATTCTACATCTTTGTGAAGCATCGGATGACTCCGATCGTTAAAGCCACCAGTGTGGAGCTGAGTTACTGCCTACTTATCTGTATTGCTCTGTGCTACGCTAATACTTTTCTTATTTTACAAAAGCCTAGTGATGGTACTTGCAGTGCTGTTGTGGTCATGGTGGGAATCAGTTTTGCGGCCTATGTGGGCACTTTATTAACAAAGACCAATAGAATAGCAAGAATCTTCAACAGAAAGCTGTCTGCTGGTTCTCCATCATTTCTCGCAATCAAGGTAAACACCATGCTTCAATATTTAGGGACACACAGTTTTATAGATTATAATGCCACTTCTATCATACTCAATTATTAACCACGGTAATACATTTTAGGAATATCTTTCAAGCCAAGCAAGGGTAGTGTTGTATAAAATGAAATGTGTCAAGCCACTGGAAAATAATGTGTTTATCAAAATAATATTCACACATATTTGGCAGCATAAAGCCCAAAAGAAATTAACAGTTCAAAACTAAGTGAAGGAAAAAATCTATATGCACAGCTTATCATGGTCAGTCCTTAAAATTGTAAAAACATTACTGATTGTTGATTAAAATAAATTTTGAATACCTTATTTGCTTTATTAGTAGTGCATACACTTTATGTAAATGAAGATGCATGGTCATAATTAGTCAATAAATGCAATTTTTGGTTTAATGAGAGCTTTCTTCTGGGGTGCAATATGTTCATTTTTTTTCACATTTGAATGATTTCAAATTAAAAAATGTTTGTGAACTCTAGTACCAGATGCTGATGATTGGTGGTATAGTCGGACTACAGACCATTATACAAGTATTATGGGTATGGATTGAACCAGGACACATGATTTTTGTAAGACGTGATGACTATGTGCAACTTGAATGTAAATATGGAAGCTATGCAGGCCCCACAATAACTGTTGGTAAGAATTATACTGGGGTAATATATAAACCATTGTGACTGTTACAATATCCACTTTCAAAAAGTCGTATAAAAGGTCTTTATAAACTGAACACCTCTGTAAAAATACATTTGGTGTTCATTTTAAATACATTTTACTCATAGTTCAAGGACAGCAATGAGGACACTAACAGTGGGTAATCGACTGTTTGGGGTTTCAGTAAACAAAAATACTAGTACTGGTAACCCATATTTAAGTAGTGCAGGAAAAGTTTTGCTCATCACTTGAGTCATATGAGAGCAGTTCAGTTCCAAAAAAAGAGTCCTGTCTAAGTAAATGGATATTGTTAAGAGCAAAAAATAAGGACTGTATATAATAAAGAAAGAGTACTTTTCTAGTAAAATCTGAATAAAAACTGTCCACTGTCGAAGGTTAGAGGACTGTTAAAGCAATAGAGATAATCTAGAAAGTAGTATTACTGTATAAATTAACTATAAACTGAATACCGTAGAAAAGTTTATTTTAGTTGGAATTAATTTTCGCTGAAAAGACTTCTTTGGTGTTTTGTATGGAATTTAATTTCACTGATTTCTGACGAGTTGCATGTTAAACATACAAAAAAAGGTATATTCGCTGGATTTTATTTTCACTGAAATAGTGAAAATTAATTCCAAGTGAAAATAAAGTATTTCACAGTACCTCAGTGAATATAACAATCTGTTTTCAGTACAGGTTTCACTGTATAAAAAACTTATGTGAACATTATGTTTTTAGTTCTTTAGTGTTCAATTTAGGCAGGTTTTACTTTATTGGTTTTAATATTGCAAACATTCTGTTTTTCAAGCCTTAAAAATAAATTCAATCTCAAGTGTCTCTCAGGGAAATAAGAGTTAATGGTTTGGTTCTCTTCTAACAGGTTATGTAACAATTCTGGCAATGAGTTGTTCCTATCTAGCATTTCGTATCCGCAAGCTACCTGGCCAATTCAACGACTCCAAATCAATCTTTTTCACCATGCTGACGACCTGTCTGATCTGGTGCACATTCTTCCCAGCATACTTTGCATCTGGAAACAAGTGGAGGTTAATTGTGTGCTCGCTGGCAATGATTTTCAATGCCACTGTTGCACTGTCATGTGTGTTCATTCCAAAACTGTGGATCATTCTCTTCAGACCGGAGAGAAACAGACGAGAATCAACGCTGAATTTGAAAGAAGCAAACAAGATCCATATGAATACTCCAAGAAATTCAATCACTCAGGTACTAATGAAGTTTGTCATGTTTATAAGATCTTACTTAAAATTGAACATGCATATAAACATAGAACATTGTCTTTGAAACAGAACAAATGCAAAAGATGATAAAGACAAATGTTTTCTGTTCTTTCCAGAGCATTTCAAGCATCGTGGCCACGAAGCTTGAATAGGTGATTTACTTTTCAACTGCGTGAAAGACGCACACTGAACATCTGCCGCAAAAGTCAAACAATTTGATTTTGAACTCTAATTTCTTTATTTCAAAGCTCACATTGAAAGCCCGATCTTTGACAGGGGAATATTGCGTTTAAATACCCTTACTTCATTGAAATTGACCATCATCAAATGTGTACAGCACATGGTTTTAAGCGTGGAAATATCCCCAAAATTACTTTTGCGATGTTTGTCGCCACTACGATGCTATGACCTTTGTTTGTCCTGTTTTTACGTTTGATTTCATGTATAACATGTGATCTCGCAGTGAACGGATAATGATCTATTTGTTGTTAAAATTAAAGTAAAATTAAATACAAGTAAGACTAAGTAATAAATTGCTTGAGATCACTTACTTAATTAATGTTTCAAGTTATGGGGAAACTTGAGCAATAGTGTAATTAATAATTCAGGCAATGTTGTGTTTGATAATGAATTAAGTCTACATTATGTGGAACATATCTATATCTTGTCGAACACGGATACAGTGCAGGAAAAGAGGAGAATATTCAGTCAAAGGCGTTAGTGCAAGAGATGGATCAGATATAGATAACAATATAGTAATATTAGACTTCACAAACTGGTGTTCACATGTAAAACTGTGTATAAATGACCTCTCTACTTGAGCGTGATTTTATGCTATGAGGGAATGTCAAGACATTACATTAAATTGTCTTAATATGCAGAATAACTTGTAGCAAACCTCACTATCATATGTTTTAATTAGAATTTTTTTTTGTTATAAATCTTGCATATACATTGTATTTAATATTTCACACTGCATTTACAGTTTAACACATTGCCTCCTGACACTGTTTTAGTCATATCCATAGAGGTTTTCTGCAGGCAATATGTTTATTGGCTTAGATTGGTATGGACATGGTTTTAAAGGGAGATACTTTTTTGCCACACTAAACTTGTGCCGTATACAAAGTTTTGTCTGTCATAAGATTGGCACAATGATTCACTTTCGTTTGCATTCAATCCAAAATGGAGAGACCACAATACCTTAACCAACCGTGATGTTCTTGTCAAATATTATTGGCCTTGATCCAGAATTGTTTAACATGTCTTTTTCATGAAACAAATATGGTGGCAAACCACAATGAGATTATCAGATTTTAATGCTCGGAGGCTATAAAGTAAATTTCAGAGCTACAATGGTTGTGAATAAAATGATTTCTAAGTGTTCTATGTAATTTTTGGTAAATCCAATATGGCCACATAAGTTTTTATCCATGAACATGCTGCTCAACTACTCTGATCAATGTCTCAATTCCTCCACAATTTCAGAATATCATCTCATCAAGTTCTTGTCATGCTGACGAAGACAACAGTTTCGACAGAATCCTTGATGACGAAGAGACTTTCCAGAAACGCCTAGAAGAACTACAAGAAGAGTTAGCCAATGCAGAGAGTGAGAAGACGGTGACACTCTCACGTGTTGAAGAGCTGAAAATAATTTTGGAGGAACTTGAAAAAGCATGTGATACCATACATGTATTGTAAACTTGAAAAATCATGTAATAACATACATGTATTGTAAACTGGAAGAAGCATGTAATAACATACATGTATTGTAAACTTGAAAAGACATGTAATTACATACATATATTGTAAAATTGAAAAGACATGTAATAACATACATGAACTGTAAACTTGGAAATACTTGTAGTAATATACATGTATTGTAAACTGGAAGAAGCATGTAATAACATACATATATTGTAAACTTGAAAAAGCATGTAATAACATACATGTATTGTAAACTTGAAAAAGCATGTAATAACATACATGTATTGTAAACTTGAAAAGGCATGTAAACATACATGTATTGTAAACTTGAAAAAGCATGTAATAACATACATGTATTGTAAACTTGAAAAGGCATTTAATAATATACATGTATTGTAAACTAGAAAGGCATATAATAACATACATGTATTGTAAACTTGAAAAGGCATATAATAACATACATGTATTGTAAACTGGAAAAGACATGTAGTAACATACATGTATTGTAAACTGGAAAGGCATGTAATAACATACATGTATTGTAAACTTGAAAAGGCATGTACTTTATATTATGTGTCCGCCCAAACTGTTCCCCTATACCCAATTTTGATAATTGGTTTGTAATAGAATTGAATATTTATTTGAATGTGTATGATAGCAGGTCATACTGAGCTATTGAATACTTCAATGTTGACCTATTGAACACTGTATTCATGAGCATC